AAGAGTCTTTTGGAAGATCTGGGGAGCAGTCAGAAGAGCAAAAGACGGCGCTCGGCCCGAAGTCCGCGCATTCGCGGCAGTGCGAAGCTATCTCCTGGCAGAGGTGCGTGTATGCACTTTGCAGGGGCTGTTCTGCTTGCAAAGGGAAGAGAAAGTTAACGTGCGCCCCCTGCAAGTGCGCAGCCCGAAGCAGGGCGCGGGCCTGGCTGTGCTCGGCGTCCGAGAGGGCGGAAGCCGTGGACATCACGAAGAGAGATCCCAGAATGCCCGACCAGACGAGCTGGAAAAGGCGTGCCATAGAGTCAGGCGTGGACAGGGCACCTTGGTCGGTGCGTTGCACTGCGAAGTGGTCCCTATCCGTGAAACCTGGGGGCGCAACCGAAGCAGGGCCTAGTATACAAAGGCTTAAGCGGGGCGGGGCTTTGGCCAGGTCGGAGGCTTGGTCATCCTCTGCCGATGAGGACTCCTCAGAGTCAGTGCTTGCCTGCGGTGCGGCAGGCGAAGCAAAGCCCGTTTGTCTATCCTGCGGCGCAGCAGGCCGTGCGGCGCAGGATTTGCCCATTTGATGAGAGATCGCTGGTGCAGGTCCTTCTTGCGAGGTCGGGGCGCTTGGCAACTTAGGTTTGGGACGAGCAGGCTCGAGGGCAGGCGGGGCCTTAGGGTCTTTAAGGGGGTCAGGGCTAGGTTTAGCGGGGGGATTGCAGACCGTCGCCGACGGCGCAGCGGAGGCCGAGGAGGTTGAGGCAGAACCTAGTCAGGAGGAGCTGGGCTCCTGCGGGTTTTTGTGTCTGCAGGCCGGGTGATTTCGGCCACAAGGCTCGCCTGACGGGAGCTTGAAGGCGCATGCGTGCAAGTATTTGCACTGTGCGTTGCGGCAGTTGCCTTTGTTGTAGCGGATGCAAAAGACTCGCCCGTTGTGCGACGGGACCAAGGCGGCATCTTTGATGTCCGTGCTGGTGCCCGAGCCCGGGCTGTTGCGTTTGCCGGGCTGGGTGCCGGTATTTCGGCCCGTCTTGTCTTTACCCTTGCCTTTACCTTTGTTGACGTCACCGCGGGGCGGAGGCTTTTGAGGAGGTGGCGGAGGCTTTGCGCGGAGCTGCAGGAGGTTGCCGATGTCGGAGCGGACTGTGGTGATTTCATGCAAGGCGTCGTCCAGTGTCCAGCCGGAGCTGTGCATGGAGCTGAGTTCTTGCCAAAGCTTCCTGTCTGCAGCAACCAGCTCTGTAGTGGTAACTGTGCGGAGCGAGTGGTCGGCCGGTGATTGCGTTGCCCAGTCGAGAACCTTCTTGTCGAAAGCCTTGACGCGGGCCAAATGCGCCCCCTTGCACAGTGCAATTGCGTTGCGGAAGACAGCCTGGATGCGGCTGAGCCAGGCAGGGCTAAGGCGCAAGTGGTCGACGGGCAGCTCTGGTGTCTCGTCGAACAGAGCAGTGCTCAAAAACTGGGCTTCCGTGCGAAGCATTTTGCTGGATTTCGATTCCATGATCTCCTGGTACTGCTTTTGCGAGAGGCGCAGTTGCCAAGGGATCCACGCTATGCGGTTTCCGGGCGTAAACCACTTGTGCACAAGACTCAGCAAACGCACGCTTGGCATTGCGTCGCTATCGAGGTGTTCGCCGGGATAGTTGGTCTCGAAATCTGTGACCAGCTTGGCAATAACGGCGCTATCCAAGCGGGGCGGCGCGTGTTCCGCCCACGAGTTGATGGACTGGGCTTGCTGTGACTGTGCCGGGGCCGGCGGTTCGACCGCGTCTGAGGCCTGCGTAAGGGCTTTGGCTCTGAGCAGGGCGCGCCGCAGGCGAGCCATCGCCGGGCTGTGCTCCGCGTCCGAAATCTCGAGGTCTTGCCAGAGCTGCGCGAAATCCGGACCACAAAACCTATCCAGACTTTCGACGCCGTGGTATGCAAACGCAAAGTCCGGGATGGTGCGGATGCCCGATTCCTGCAGTGCAGTGCTAAGCTGGTCCGGGACCTGAAGGCTGCGCAGGAGGTCTGCGAAAGCTTCGGCGCTGTCCCAAGCGTGAGACATGCTGTGCAGAGCGGGCAGAAGAGGGGGGACCCTTGGCGAGGTCGCTCAAAAGTGGAGAAAAAACGGCGGCGGACAGGCACGTGCTAGTCAGTGCAAGGCAGTGGCAGACGAAACCAGCAAAGAAAACCCCAAAGCGGCCGAGGGCACTGTGCGAGGACGAGCGGCAGCAAGACCTGAGCGGCAGGAAGAATTTGGCTGAGCTGTGGGGCGGGGCAGTTGGGTGTTCATGCGTTGCTAGTTCGGCTGAGCGAAGCTGTCCGGAGCGAGATCTATGCACACGCTTTGCGTCTGCATGTGACACCGTGAGGCTGATCCGAGAACTGAGCAGCGACACCGAGGCGTATGCCGCAGGCGGTGCGTAAAGGAACTCCTTCTTGGGGCATCGCTACGCGGTGCCACTTGCCCCAGGGGCCTGTGCAGGCGAAGCGCTGATCGCCGTCTATGATGAGGGGCACGCGGTGTTCCGGATTATGGTCCGAGGACACGGATGACTCGGCTGAGCTGGTGTCATCTGTGTGCAGCGCGGCGGCGCGTGCAACCATTGCTGCTTCTTCGTCCGTGAAGTCTTCGATGGGGTCCCCGATGTCGTGTTGCGAGGCCGAAGCTTGATGCTCCGCAGCGTCCTTGTCTTGAGTGCAGTCCTCGATGTCATCCGGGCTGGCCGGCTGAGGCACCGCGGCCGTTCCGATTGAGGCCGCTGCCGCTGCATGCAGGTGCTCATGCCTCGTAACAAAGAAAACCCAGCGCGGGTCCAAGAGATCCTGGGCGGGAAGTTCTTGTAGAACAGGGCCGGGCGGCAGTGCAAACGGGGGCTCCGGGATAGGAGCCTGTCCTCCGCGGGCGATGCTGCGCTCGGCCCGCCACCCGGTGCACATAGAGTTGCTGAGACTGTGCTGGACATCGAGACTCGCGAATACATCGTTGCGGGAGTACAGTGCGGCAGAGTCCCGATGATGACCGTGCGTCAAACGGTGCTCTTTCCAAAGTCTGAGCTGTGCAGCCGAGGCGAGCCCGGTCGACTTCATGCTGTGCAAAGTGAGCTGTGCTGCCTCGTGGGCAGTGAGCCCCTGGCCGGGCGGCAGCCAGGGCAAGGTTGCCGCCCAACGGAGGGCAAGCATGGCGGTGCAATATGAAGCTGGGCTGAGTTCCAGGATGGCATTCAGTTCCGGGGCAGTGCTGGGCCAAACGAAATCAACGACGTCGCCGGGGCTCCACAGGGAGTCAACGGCGGTGCGCATGGCATGCAGCCAGCGCAGGACCCAGCAAGATGCCGCGCTGCGGCCGGTGAGGCCAGCCAGTGTCACCGCAAAGGGTTGTCCCTTATCCGTTGTCTTTGTTGCGTAACAAATTCCGCGCAAGGCCGTGCGGCTCAGTGAAAGAGACTCAAAGTCAATGCGTTGCAGGTCCCCAAAGCGGAGACATCCGTGCACGGCCAGGAGAACAGCCCCTAAGACAAGCTTGGTAGTGAGCGGAGCCCCCGAGGTGCAAACGTGAAACTCCCAAGCCGCTATGAGGGCCCAGGGAATGGGAAGAGCTTCGCGGCGGTCCTTGGCGGTGCCTCGCAGAGAGTATGCCCGAATAACAGGGCTATCCATCACCACGGCTAGGCTGTGCCACTGCGTGCACTTAACGACCCAGCGAAGGGCTTTCACTGAAGATGCGGCAGAGGTTTGGTGCACCTCACGGTCTTGGCTATGCGAGGCGCGTGCTGCTGCGAGAAAATCCAAGAGCGAGGGCAGAGTGATCGCCACGAGCGATATGCCAGAGCATTCCAAAAAGAGAACCCAAGCAGCAGCAACGCGAAGGTATCTTTCGAGGGTGCTGGGCCGGAAAGTGGCGACCACTGCAAGGCAATGCTGAGTCGGGTCTTTGCAGGGCTGCAGGGAAAGCCAAAGTAGCGAGGCCGCACCGAGCTTGAGCAGCAGCTGACACCAGGCGGTGCCGCAGGCTTGCATTCTGGCCTCAGCGCGGGCGCGAGTCGAAGAATTGCATACCCGTTGGGGCTTGGGAGGGTTGAGGCTAGGCTGTGACGGGGCAGGCGTACCAGGAGCAGCCGCCGGAGGCCGCTCCTGTTGTCCCGCGGCTTTGGGGGGCGGGGCGGTGATACGCAGGCTGCACGGCGGAGGAGGAGGAGGCGGTAGTGGCAAACCCGGGCCTAGTTGGGGGGTAGGGGCTATGCGGGACCTTTTATTGGGGGGCGGGGGCAGGCGGCCACGCCCCTCGACGGGGAAACAAGGCTCCAGAGCACGGAGTGGAGGCAAGCTGAGCAGGCGGTTTAGCCAGGTCGGACACGCGCGGTAGGTTACCATGCTTTCGAGGCACAAAAGCAAAACCGACGGGCTTGTGTGCAGTGCAGAGCCGAGGCGCGGGCGACGGCAAGGACCAACTCGAGGCCGAGCTGGCGCAATCATCTGTGGTGAGGGGCCTGGCCGAGGACCCGCAGGAATCTGTGCTAGGCCGGGGTTCCTGTGCTGCGCTGCATTCCGGTGCTGTGCTGGATTCAGGCGTCGCGGGCACGGTGTGCAACACTCGGTCGGCCGACTGAGACGCCCAACGACGGCGCATGGCACGCAGGAGCAGGGCGGAGGTCGGGGCGCAAACAGGCTTGCAGCAAGAAAAAGGCTGACCTGACAGCGAACAAGCAACCTGAAGCAGGAACCAAAGCGCTGCAAGGCGAAACGAAGAGTGTGTTGCGCGAGGGCCCGGCCGAAGACGATGACGAAGACGGGGGTACCTGGCAGCAAGGCGAAGCAGAACAGAAGCATGAAACCACAAAGCTGCGACTAAGCACCTGCTGGGCCGAGCTCGCGGAGCAAGGCTGGCCGAGCGGGGCCGGTGCGAGTCCTGCAAGGCAAGGCAAGTGAGGAAAGCAGCGCAGGGCAAGCCGAGGGCGCTCAGAACAACAAAGGCGCAGGCTTTTGCGAAGCGTGCGGTGCAATGCTCTCAGGGCAGGGCTGTGCAGTCAAAGCGGTGCTGTGCAAGGCGGCAGTGCTTGGCTACTTGCCGGCTTGCTTGCACTTAGAGCAGCGGTGCACTTCGTGGATGTCTTTGTCCCAGGGCTCGTGGATCTGCTTTGCGCAGGGCGGCCGGCCGTAGTCACAGCTCGAGATCTGGCATGCGATGGCGCAGCAGACGGAGCCAGAGCTGTGCTTGAAGACGGGGCGGAGCTCGCCGTTCTTGCAGCGCACATAGCGGATCTCCGTAGTGACCCGCTCGCTGGGCGTCAGTGCGCCGTGCGGTTGATCAGGGCGAGGGCGAGGCAGAGGCCAAAACGCTGCAGGGCTCGCCGGTGCCGGTGCCGGGGCAGGCTCCGAGGGCGGCGCAGGCGGCGGATGTCCATATCCCGCGGGCTGTGCGTAGCTCCAGTCTCCCCCTGACTGTTCCCACGAGGCGTGGCCGTGGCTGGACTGTGCGGTGCTGTGCCACTGGCCCCAATCGTCATTGCCATCGTCGTGGCTGTCTGCCCAGCGCGGGGCCGGCGCGGGGCCGCGCATAGCATCGTAGTCTTCGTAGCGGCGCCGGCCTTTGCCCTGGGAGCGGTGCTGTGTCTGAGCCGGTGCAGTACCAGGCAGCTGGTCCCAGGGATCGCGTTGCTGAGCAGAGCTTTGGTCCCAGGCTTGATCCTGTGCGGGCTGCGCGGGCTCTGAGGGCACCTGTGCGGGGCCAAACCGCGTATTTTGCGCCTGGCGGAGCTCTTCTAGGAGCTGCTGTGTCTGTGCGTTGGTCAGCTGACGAAACGCCGCCACACGATCAGTGCCATTCTGACCAAGCAGTGCTTGCAAGATGCTTGACATGCCAGACATGCTGAGCAAAGCGGTGCGGGGCGGGAGATAGGCAGAAAGCTGAAAGCAAACGGGCTGCTGCGCGCAACCGATGCAAAAGGGCCGCAAGCAGGCAGTGCACAACAGACCGGCTGAACAGGACAGGCAAAAAGAGTCCTGGCCATCCACGGCGGCGAAGCAGAGCCACGGTACCTGACAGGGCGCACAGGAAGTGGGGTAGGCAGGGCTGTAAAAGAACAGAGGTGCATCTCGGCGCTGAGAGTGAGGGCCTAAGCGAAACCACAGCGTCAAGCGAGACGGAAAAGCAAAAACTGAGCCACGGCCGGGGCGAAAAGGACAGCCCGCAGTGCGATGCGACCTGAGTAAAAAAGGAGCTCAAAACCCCTGAAAAAGCTGCAGTCGCGAGGCCGAGGCGGCCACGGCCCAGCGAAAAGGGGGCCACGCGGGGCCCTGGCAAGAGCACGCGGTGCTTGCAGCAAAGCTAATCTCAGTGCAGGGCACGGAGAGACTGAGGGCGGCGCAGCCAGTAGGCAGTGACGAGGCAGCCAAGCGTGGCAAGCCACCTGAGCACGCGGTGCAAAAAAGAAAAGCAGCAACCTGAAAGCGTAGGTGCAGAAAACGAAACATGCGATGTTCAGAGCGGGGCGGCTCGATGCGGAGCGGCCGTGAGTCCCTAGTCTAGGAAGTCAAGCAGCGCACGAGGGTGATCTACATCCTTCGGCGCCGGCTGAGCGATGCAAATCAAAGTAGGAAGCACGCA